AAAAAAATAAAGTTTCATGTTTGCAAACTATATTATTGCACCATCAAACAGCCAAGCTTTATTGTCACTTCAGGTGATCGGAAATATGCGAAACATCATTTTTGTGGAAAGAGATTGATTTACAAACACATGTGGTTTTCAAATATTACCTTTTAGCCTGATATTTTTTGAATATGGCTTTTGCTTTTCCAGTGCCAGATTACACAGCTGTATATATCATTGCCGATTCAATCGACGAAGCCACTCTACAATTAAATAATGATTTAAAAATACTCTATAAAAAATTATGTCAAAACAAACTTAAATTAAATGTTACTAAGAAAAAAAATATGATAATTTCAAATACGAAAGTTTATAAAAATAATGGGGCGTATTCTTGTTTTCGTACGAGTCGAAAAATTTCAATTTTTCTATTATTTTTTTTTTATACAAAAATTTTAAATTTTCGATTCGTACGAAAACAAGAATCCGGCCCAATATAAATGTTATAATAGATAGGACAAAACTAGATATTGAAGCAGAGGTGAAGTACCTTGATGTAGTTATCGATGATAAATTCAACTTTGACACAAACATTAGCCATGTATGCAAAAAAACTGAACAAAAAGTAAATGTTTGAAGTAGATTAAGGAACAAGCTGAACACTAAATAACGAACTATATGCTGTAAGAAGTTTCGCTATATCTACTATCAAAAATGTGAACGGAAGTTCGCGTCTTAACCCCAAATTAATATTTAAAAGTTTCTTTCCGTACGTTGTTATCGTTGAGCCATTTGCTGCTGTTAAAATAATTGCTCTGATCCAGTACTCTATGAACTTACAGGTTTTTATACGAACTTGCAGGAAGTTACAGGAAAAGTTATCCCGTACTCCAAATTCCTCCAAAGTCCTGTGAATGAGAGCGATTTTTGGAGAGTTGTGTAGAGAATGAAGTTGCAAGCTTTTACCTGAACTTTTCTCTTCTTCTGGTAAAATCATGAAAAGCGTCAAGCGATCACTGGTTGACGTTTTGACAGGAAAAATGCCTTTTTTGTTTGCGTACTTTTTGTTGTTACTCACTTTTTACTCTCACTTCAGAGAGTAATTTTGCTGTTTGACTTTTTTGCAGGATTTTACACGAAAAGTATTGAATCAGAGCTAATGTTTAATGGATTTTCTCATACATGGCATTTTTTATACCGGAAGTACCGATATTTCCGCTCCACTGTCATTTAAGAAATTGAATTTATTCTCTTTGTCATAAATAAACAGGCGACGTGTTCAAACGTCCAAATTGCCGTTACTTGTCGACGCGACCAGGGTTGATTTTTGCTGATTTTAAAAACTGTTTCTTGAAAAAGTACAACGTTGAACGCATTTAAAAGCGGATAGCATTTTCGTTTCGTTTTCTTGAATTTTTTTGCTTAATTTCATTTAGTTCGAAAGTAAAATTTTTGCAAATAAGTTCATGTGTTTTGAGAAAATTTTTAGTAAAGGCTTGCTTCCCTTTTGAATTTTGAATATTTAGTATTAACCAAAGCTTCCTCATCATTGTTAATTATTCCAATTAACGGTGAATTGTTAAAATTAGAATTTGTTAATGTAGTTGTGTGTTTTATTTTGTGACAAGTGCAATAAGTGTCACAATAGTTTCTGTGTAAGAAAGTACAATTTGAATTTATAGAAACTGTTTGATAGTATTTAATAAATATCAAAAATTAAATAGGGTATTATCAAACGATGTATTTATGTTTCCACTTCGAACAAAAATAAGTGTTAAAGTTATACTAATGTATATTAAAAACTAGAACAATACAGCTCACCAATTCGTGAATCTTATGCTGCGTTAAGTAACGTTCACTTAGTTTTGAAACTTAGGACTAATGTCTCCATCAGAAGTGGCCTTCAATAGCAATTAAACCCTTAAAGGGTAACGTTCTTTTACATACTTTAAAGGTAACCTTCGTCGAATCGACGAAGTACTGTTTAACTCCCTTTTTTTTTTTTATGAAAAATGTCGCGAGCAAGATTGCCAAACTACTTTTAATAATTATGAAGCCTAACCAGAAAGAAAACACAGAGGATATTTAGTATTTAATATATATTTTAGAGCAATTCGCTCTTCAGTCCAATGGCGACAAAAATGGAAAAAGAGCAACAGTGTTCGTCAAATCGACGAAGATTACCCGTTCAGGGTAAAATATGTATTCTAACAAACTAGCGACTTTATTTCTAAAAAAAAAATCACTTGTGCATATCTATGTATGTACACACGTACATAAATATACGTATACATAGACATAAGCCTATTAGGGAGGTCTTTAAATGTAGAAGGGGCAAATTTTTGCATAAGATTTCCTAAGCCTCAACTCGTACGTCGACGCTACTATGGACGCCTCTATGGAGACTCAAAAAATTTAACTTATTTTTTTTTTTCATTTAATATCCAAAATTGATACTCTAAGCTCGAAGATATCATACATAAATTTTGGCCCCGATTGGAAACGGTTAGGGCGTGCCGCACAGCGGTCAAAGTTCAGATTACCCTATGAAGACGCCTTAACCTACTTCAATCGGGACCAAAATATATATGTGATATCTTCGACTTTAGATAGAATATCCATTTTGGGTATTAAATGAAAAAAAAAATATATGTTTAATTTTTTGAGTCTCCATAGAGGCACCCTTTTGCGACGCGCCTTAGCAGATTCCCATCGGGTATTACCAATTGGGGGGTGAGACTGAAAAATCGTTCATTTGATTTTTGAGGACCACCCTATCGTAAATACATACCCATTTATTTATGGTATTTTTCAGCCTTTTCTTTTTGTGTAAATATTTTCTTTTTTGAATTTTTGATTTTCGAATTTGGCCATGCCAGAAGTTGAAGATATTGGACAAGGCATGTCTGTTTCTCTGCTATGGCGCAAGGACCAGTAGTGAGGGCAAGAACCCCGCCCAGCCGACATGACTAGCCACAGTGCGCTCGATGTGTCTTGCCGGCCTGCACTCACTAATGCTCCCGCAGTATGCGTTCCGTAACAATGTTAGATTATAAGTATCTATTTCTGTGGTGGGGAGAGTTTAGTTTTTAAACCAAGCCAAGATCTTTAAATTTACAAATGCAGTGTAATGTATAGTTACATAGGATTTTCATTACACGTCATTTCCATTCTCTCTTTTTCTATTGCAGTGCGGCATCTGAAATCTACGCGCATTTAGCCATTAAAAAATAATACAAATCATCAAATGTACAAAAAATGCCATGGAGCTTTCGAAAATTCAACAAAGTATTACAAAGAGAATTAATCGAGAAGAACAAATCCGATCTTGAATGCAAGAAACTAGAAGGAAGCGCAAGATCCAGATTAACACTTAAAAGTAAATGTTGCCATTGTGAAAGTATAAAGGGAAATCGAAAATTGAATATTAGCAGTAGGGAATTTTTTGGAGGCAGCAAATGTACTTCGGTGGAAGCAACCGGAATTTAGAGTAGCAACGCAGTCAGGTGAAAATTTGTGTGGCAAAGAAAAAAGTTGCACAACTGTAGATTGTTGCTTTTGTATAAAATAAAATCGAGTGGCTTCGAAAAAGTACTGCACTGAAAAGATTGAAATGTGAAAGAGTAGGGGCACCGATAGGCGGCAGCAAGTGCAAGGACAGCAAATGTAGCGAACTGGCAAAGTAGCAACGTAGCGACGGCGAAACCTTAGCCGCAAAACGAATTCTAAAAGAAACTGCGACAGCACGTCACAATTCCGCTGTAATAGAAAAAGTTTCACAGCATTTTTCCACACTTTTTTAATTTTTGTGCATGTTTTTGTATTTTAAAGTGGAGAACATACTCCTCACGCACACCTACATATGTATATACATACATACATACATATGTATGCATGTACGAGCAAAGAAAGGCGCATAGAATTGACAGCTAAAAAGCTTTAGACGTGAACTATGCATTATTTTCCTGTGGTCGGTCAACGCTAAGCTCGTGCCATGTTCCGAACCAAGTGCATAAAATCGTATTTTTTTTTTTGTATAAATTCCTAAGTGTGTTGTGAAAGATATAAAAACTTCTAAAAATGAAAACACATAAATTATGGATACCATGCTCCATGGGAGTTCAGTTGGCGAGAAGATGTACAACAACTCAATCAACTTGGCGTAAATATTTGCTGATTGCCGCCATATTTTTCTTTATACCAGGTAAGTGGATAATTTAATAGCAAAAGTTAATAATTAAATTGTGCGAAAGCATTTAATTTATCCATTTATGTAAAGTAAAAGATGGTGTTAATTTTTTATACATAAATAGCACGGATATTATACCCTTACATACATACATACATATATAGGCGTAAATTTGTACAACAAAGGCATCCGTCCGTCGTAGGAGTAGCTTATGGTAGAACTCATGCTCAAATATCAACGCAGTAAAATGCTGATTTTTTTAATGAAATTTTTATTTGAATACTAAGTACACTGAGAAAAAAGTGGACCGTGCTCCACTTGTTTCAAGCTAAAACACATTTGATTTTGCGCCAAACGACTTTTGTTAATTTTAAACAGTATAATGAGATTTTTTCATTTGGCCATGATTTCGTTCTGCAATTCACAGATGCTTTTTTGTAATTAAGAAAAATCGAGAATTATATATTTCGTCTAATGGGATTCGAACCCGGACCGTCCTGGAATCTAATAAAAAGTAGGAAGCATCTTTCTCAGCTACAACCACAACATGTAAGTGTGTGTTCCGCTTGAATCAAGGCCAAATCACGCGACTGGTACATTTGTAAAAATTTGTTTTTGGTTGTTACAGAGCTGCGTTGTTTGGAAATGTTTTAGTAGGCTGAATTCATTCTCTATAAAAATTTCTAGACAACACCATTCTGTGATCGATCAAACAAACATACATATGTTTCCGTTTGTTTAAAAATACTTTTTCAGTTCAAAAATTTCTAATCGCTAACATGGGGAAAACCAAAAAATTATAATGTTCGAAGAAATCATATAACTTTTCTCTCAGTGCAGTCGGACTACATACGGGTATAAAATGAATTTGTTATATTTTCTTGCTACAAGCATCTGTTTTTAAAGTTCTCCCTAATTTTTGACTACTTATCCCCCAGACTAATTATATTGTATAGCACGTCATACTTCAATTTTCAGAATGGTCATCACGTCGCCTGTATGCCTCGGCAGGAGAGCGTCTGATTTCATGCCACTGTGCAACGTGAGGCATATCAAAAATTGTCCAAATGTTGATTTTATTGTAATCATTTTTTTTATTGCTGCAGTTGGTGTTTACAACTTCCTTTGATTGCGTGTTGGCCAGTCAAAATCAAGTTCCGTTACCCCGTCGTGGTTGTCGCCTGTTGACCAGTAGAACAGATTATGGCAGGCGCGCAGGGTCAAGAGTGCGAATGCATACATACTTATATTTATGTGCTCTTTGACTACACGCAGCGGCACTAATAAACTGCTCTTTCATCGCCTTTTCCGGGCTCGCATGCTAAAACAAGTTAAAAAAAAATATTTCGACTCCGCTCTCTAGCACTGGTGACGGCAACCGTGACGACTACGACGGTGGTGGTGGTGGTGGTGGCGGTGGTGGTGGCGGTGGTGTTGTAGTCTAATCCCTTTCGCGGTCGGCAATTTGGTTTCGAGTGTGTTTACTGCGCAATGCTAGGACTTGCGGGCGGGTGGAAGGAAGTTGAACATATCCTGCATACTCTACCACACTGCCACTTGGGAGGTGTTCTGCATTGCATTTTCAATCCTCCAACTCTGGGCAATGCGTGTATACGTAATCACGATTAAACTGTCAACGGAATACTAATTAGATTTTGGATGGCTTTTTTGTGGGATTGACGGAAAGTTGCATGCCGGAATAGTCATCGGTTCGACAAGCTCACATTAAATGTGTATGCATAGAAGCACGTGAACGCACATAAACAGGCACATTCGTGTGTAAGTATGTATGTACATACCTCTAAATGCAAATGACCGAAAAGCTTTGCTTCTACTTCGAATGGCGTTGTTGGGCGACAGCGTTCGTGGCTTTGCTGGAAAAAAGGCTTTGACACTCTTTGCAAATAAGTAATTGTGTATGTGCGTGTGTGTGAATGGCGTGTTGTGCAAATTTTATTTGAATGCTTTACGGTTGTTTGATTAATGTGTTCACACAAAACGCATACAAACATAATTTACATATATATGTGAGTACATCCTCTCGCAGGAATACACACTGTTCGGTTTTTATAAATTTGACAACGTACTTCTAAATTTAATGCACAGAAGAGGCGCTTGAAATGCTGATTTAGTCGCTGAAAAGATGGAAAATAATGCGATCATGATGAATTGAGGCCGTTCATCTATTTTTGTTTTGTTTATCGAATGCGTTTTTTATGAGGGATTTATTCTTTTGCCAAAGACTCAAGACTTGATCTTATTAATGGAAGTAATCACCTCTGCAAATCGCAAGCACGAACAATTTCGAACAGAGTTGATTGATTGAAGGAATAATTTCTATTGTTCTTGTTTTGATTCAGCCACATTATTATTGCTATGAGCCATAAGCACCGCGATCTCTATGGTGGTCGAGGTGACTACCGGCTACAACCGTGCTAAATGACTACCATCTAATCAGGTTTCCGCTCTACGGTAAATATACGACCTTAGCTTCTGTCCATCTACTGGAAATATGGCACAGTAAGAGCGACGCCACTGTAGAGTCTAGAGAAGACTGGGTCTATATACTTACTTCCTTGTTGAAGTAGACAAGGTTAGACCACATCTGGTCTTGGTGATTTGTAAGAGCTAAAGGTAGATACCGCCAATTGCACTCTTTCAATGGTGGTGAGTTTAGTTGCAAGGCTTTATTTTATTCCAGAAGTAGATAATAGCTTGCTCTACAGCCCGGAAAATGAGTGTCTAGCAGAAGTCTGCAAGTCTCAGCTAGACGCTGAGTATAATAACCATTTGATTTCTTTGTGGTGGCGATCGTATTATTGTGTTCCTTAGTTAGAGCTTTTTGGAGGAGTTCTGCCTCTGGGAGACTATTCATTTCCTAGCAGTGTTTTCCTTTTGGATTTCCGCAATTATTTGTTAGAGGAAGTTAGTTCAAGTTTATACGGATTCCAACAATCCGAAGTCTTTGCCCTATTGAGTAATGTCGAATTCTATGTGCATATGTCCAACACAGATGCTTCTTCTGAGTTGCGCTAGTTTGATGAGACAGACGCTGCCATATTTTTACTATTAAGAGTGAGGTCTAAGACTTCCCCACTAACAGCATTCCAAAATGTTGGTTGTTGCCTTGGTTTATAATTCTTGCACTTATTATAACTACTTATCAACTCAAGCAGGTACTCACCAATTTCGTTGGTGTCGTTGTTACCCCAAACAGTGCTATGGGCATTTGCATTACAGCAAAGGATTCATGGATTACCGCCAGTAATCGATATGTGTTTTTACTTAAGATGTCGGGGCTATCTCCTCCTCACCCGGAAATTTGGGCCCAGACCGCAACCAGACCCACTGTAATGAGCTGTGAAAGAGGACAAAACGTTACTTTGTTACCTAATAACATCGTCGCATCGGATGCGTCGTTTGTGCATCGGGCAGCTCCGCTGAGTCGTTATTTGAAAGCAATAATTGTAATTTATTTGTTCAAGCTGTATATTTAAAAGCAAACATGTATTTTTTTCTTTTGAACCATGAAAAAGTATCTGTGAAGTGCAGAAGCAAAGCGTATTGCACCAAAATTCAATCAGAAAAATTTCAGAAAAGCAGCCAAACACTTCTCCGTTCCACAACAATTTTCGGCACTTGTCTGTGCATAAATTTCTGCCGTACACTTAAGTGGGAAAACGGATCGTCAGAGTATCCGAAAGTGGAAACGGTAAACGGACAAACATCTGTACTTCATCCACATTTTTTCCTTTTTCGAATCGATTTTCGGATTTTTTGCTGGCTGGGTATGTACACCGTGCATTGTATAAAGTAAATACATACTTGTTTTATCAAATTATTTCTTCCGTAATATGCCACTATCTAGCATACTGCTGTATGAAGGTCTATTTTTTGAAAATATATTTTTGTGCCTTTAATCACGGAACATCGCAAAACATCTATGTGACTTCACGATGCCTTCTATTTTTTACGTGCGCATCCCTATATTATACGGAGTGGTCGTACGCACCCCAAGTCACTCAGCCACAGCGCACAGTGGTTCAAAATTGGCATTCAGTGTTCAATTCACTGCAGCCTTCATTTTTCACTCAATTTCATAAATTTTTTTATGAAAGCTAATAAAGTTTGCAAGAGACCAGTTTAGCTCGATTTTTGAATTTTTGTTTGTTTGTATTCAACTTTTTAGCACGAAGTGCAGAAAATGTAGCAATTTTGAAGAAAGTCGATTATCCTGTTCCAGTTTATAAATCTTACATATTAAAAACAAGCAATTGTAGGGTTCTCTCAAAACGAAAACAAAAAAAAAAAAATTTAACAGGAAAAATTTTAAATGTTTAAAAAAAAATTACCAAAATTAAAAAAATTTTTGAGTTTCTAGAAAAATGTTGGGTACACAGTTTTATAGCTCATTAAATTTTAGTACAATAAAGTGCAAGTTGCAAGTGGCTAAGAGGTCGCGTTGATTTTTGTAACGTTTTGTAAAACTTTCTCTCGCTCTAATTTATCAATGACATTCCCACCCTACTCCTAAAAACAAAAAAAGTTATATTTCGTTTCCAAATTTCTTTGCAAGTTTTAAGAACATTTTTAAATTTTTAGTAGTATCTAAATTTTGCCTTTTAAATTTGAAGAAATGATTGTTCTTCATTCGCTGGCGACAACAAGACAAAATGGGTGAGAATCGTTGGCCTACAGAAATTCCCTTAAATGCCGAAATGCATTTGTTGACACTCGTCGACATTCGTGGGGACCTATGGATTCTGCCAAATCGCTGTAAAATAAAGCGCGCAATGGCTCTGGTAAATTAGTCAACGAACGTTTTTAGGCATTCACCTACACAACACAATCCTGGTGTCCCCGAATGAGACTTTGACGTAATATAATATTGGCAAATCGTATCCGTGGGTTCGGTTTAGTCAATGGCACGATGTTGTAATTGCACACTTACGGAACTGCTCATTTCACGGTATAGAACGCGTTCCTGTCGCAATCGTTCAGTAGCTGCGTGCCCT